TTTATAATAAATTTTAGACGGAAAATAAGAATATTAACATTTTTTTGAAAATGGGCGTAGCCACGCCCACTTATGGTTACATGACTGGCCTTGGTGAGCCAGCGAGAATGTGCAATTGGTCCTGGCTTAATGTTGGCCAAATCCGTCGAAACCATACCAGAAGAAATTGCAACTGCCATTCTGAACAAGTAATTAGAGTCAGTAGTGAATTCGACAGCACCCGAATCAGGCATACTTTCAAATGTGATTGGTTCGAAATTGGTCACCGGCTGAAAATAGAAAAGATTAGATGAATTAAATATAATTTTATCATTTAGTATTGAAACATAATTGCTGACAAAACGTTTAGAATTGGTAATAAATAAGTTATAAGAATTACACACCGGAAGACTTTCACAAGTTTCAATTTGTTTGCTCAATGTTCCGGTTGTTGATCGTGGTCCAGTGGTCGATGACTTTTCCAAATTTTCAAACAAATGACGGAGAGGAAGTTCGTTGAAATGGAGAAGACACACAAACCAATGCAGGGGTCTGTTTAAATGCATTTCGTATCGGCGCAAAATTCCATTTCTTACTCCAGTATTTGCTGGCTCACCATCACAACATATGCCAATCAAAGAATCCAGTGATATTTCTTTATTAGCAAAAAATTGATTCAAACTTGTGACCTTATTTTCGCTGTCTTCATGTTCCAATTTTGTGTAACCCAACAGTTGTGAATTTGGTTCCTTCAGCACAACTAGATGAGGCTCTTTCACCATACGTGGATGAAGTTTTTTGTCGATTTTTTCCATTGTCAGTGAATAATTTTTTCTGCCATCGAATGAAAAGGCAATTAAACTTGAAGCATCATATTTTCGACGAAGAACTTCTTGTCTACATTTGCCTTTTTCTCTACGAACTTTGGACTTATCCATAATGATAAAAGTGCCTTGCTCATCTTTTACGCCCATGTCTTTCATTAGTGATGTTGCCAATGCTGCAGCTACTCTATCAGACACACCAAATCTGTCACACATCATTGCAAAATTCAAAGCATCGTATCTAGCAGTATATGGTCCTCGTTTGGTTGGAGATAAATCTTGTTGTTGAAGATGTTGTGACGAATCATCCAAATCCATATCCACTTCTGGGTCGTATGTTTCATCTTGTCTGTCGGTAGTTGTTGGTATAATGGTAGACACTGGAATTTGCTGAAAAATTTCTGCCGCGTATTCCGGTATCGTAAATTTTCTTTCATTATGTTGATCCTTCATGAACTCTTTCAAGTTTTCTGGAATCAATCCACATGAGCACAGAGCTGCTTTCAAGTCGCATTTACATTTTCCAATATAAAATATTTCTTTGGTGGATTGTACGAACGCTACGAATTTTGAGCTAGTTGCTTTGTGTTTACTTTCGAATCTATATTTGTCAAGCAAAGCATTCAATTTTCTAAAAATATTTGGTTTAAATACAATTCCAGTATCAACTTTATTCCAAATTTCAACCAATTTGTCTGTCACATTGGGAGTAAATGTTTTATATGAAAACATTATATTTTGGGATTTAGCACGTTCAGCGAAGTAACAATAATATCTTAAAATATCCTGTTTTGTTGGTAGATTGAGTCCACTCAATTCACAAGGCATACCAAAATTAACAACATCGTGAGAAGGCATATGTTTCAAATTACTGTCACTTTCGGCACTTGTTGATGTTGTTGCTGCTTGCGATGCAGACGGTAATGGATCCATAGTAGACTTTCACTAAATGATTTGTAATAGATATTGTTCCAGATTATGTTAATTACACGTTTATTTAGTTGCATATGCTTCTACTAACAAAATGATACATGATACTTGACTAACACCGGTTTTTATACCTTTTTTTGTCTATTGCTTTACATTGGAATTCTTCTAATTAGCTATGTAAGTTTGAGCGTATATGCATATGCGGGCGTACTTATGGAAATATGTATGCTTATGTGTACGTATATATGTCAATATGTATGTTCAATAGCAAAGGCAAAGCAAAATGTGGAAACGTATGAACAAACTTATGTACATATGTAATTTTAAATAATTGAAAAACGGTGACATATATGTATGTATGTAAATCTGCAAATATGCAATGCTCTCGATATGCATATGTATGTAAGCATGTATTTGCATATGCACATCGGTGCCCAAATAAAGCTGAATGGCCTAATTCACGGCCACGGTCATCTGATTTTGCACAGTGTCCTGTGTCCAGTGTCTGACCAAACAGATATATTGAATTTATTGGTATGGTATATATTGAATTTATTGGTATTGTTAAAATAATAAAGCAAAATAAAGAAATAAATATTTTTCCATTATTTTAAATTATTAGAAAGTCAAAGATTTGACTATTTGAGCAATAAGTTCG